CGCAGCGCTAAGCCCAATCTGGTGGTGCTTGCGAGAAAAATCAACCACAACAACGGCTGCTTCCTGCGGTGGACATCTCGGTGCGGCAGACCAATCGACTCGGACTGCCATGCCATCCCTCGTCCGGTTTCAGAATGAAGTTTGCAGCCCTGTCATCGCCCTCTTCCGCTTCTGATAGGTCCAGTCATACACGCTGCTTACACGCTGTGTGGTCCGATCGCGAATTCTTTCCCTAGCGAGTCTTCGCACTGCCGGCCGAACGCCTTGTCCAACCTACGTCGACGTCAATTTCCTGAGCTTATCGTCGCGTACCTCGGTGCATGGGAGTCGGCCTTGCGCTCATCTACAGAGCTTGTCAGATATAGGCGAGCTGAAGCTTGTCGCTTGGATCGTTTGGTAATATAGGCTTGATCGTAGTCGTAGGCTTCAGAGGCGGAGTTGCCTGAAATCCGATTAGGAATATCGTTGTTTACCTACGGCATCTTTAAAGTCAGAACCGAAGGCCCGAATCTGGAAGGCAAGTGTTGTCTTTGGTGCCTGAGTCTTGTCCCTGTCGCCTTCTTCTATTCTTCCATTCCTTAGAATACCGTATCACGATGGTCTACACCGGAAAGCCGAGCCGGGGGTGTGGGATGTGTAAAAGCCGCCGAATAAAGGTATGTATTACCTCGCGACAATTACTCTATTCTCTTGACTAGCGATATCGCCTCCGAGCGTATTCGGATGCGCTTGCCTGAGGCCGCGTTTTGGCTCGCCGACTGACTGTGCATAGTGCGACGAGAAACGACCAACATGTGGCAACTGCAAAAAGTCCGCCCGAGTATGTCCCGGCTATCCTGATGATTTCGACCTTGTCTTTCGAGATGAGAACAAAGCTATGGCCAAGAAGGCGAGGAAGTCTTCCGGAACGACCGCGTCGAGCAATAGCAACGGTGCGTCAAGCTCCAGCACTTCGCCGCATCTGTATGTACTACACCATTCTGCCCATGTCGATCCGCTTTGTGCACAGGGGATACCGATAAGCTTTGCCGAGCAAATGGGTACCCTCGTAGGCGGTATGCGTTCTGAAAGTGTTCACATGTGATTGTCGCAAGCCGAAGACCCACATTGCAATTTGTACGCGCTAACACAAATAGGTCACCTTCTTCGACGTTCGATGTACCACCGGGGGAGAATGCAGTACCGGGGGAGAAAGCCTTTCAAATAATCACCTCACGATCAAGAATACCCTCAGACTTAAGCCCATCACAGCAAATACTTGCTCTGTCCAACTATACAACACCACCACTGTCTCTAGACCAGTCTTTCGACTTCGAAGCGTTCGTGTGGAATCTGGAAAACGCAGTACCGCCAACCATAACACTCGCGCCAGAATGCGAAGCCGTACCGTTCTTCTTCAAGAACTTCATCACCTTGCCACAACAGGCCGAAAGCACACGAGGATACCTAGAATATTTGGTGCCACTCTACAATCGTGCCCGCCCATCTTCGGTCCTCCATTTGGCTACTACTGCTGTTGCGATGGCAACATGCGGTCAGTATCCTGGCCGACAACAGCTCCTCCGTGAAGCGGTGACCACCTACGGCAAGGCTATCAAGAAATTGAACGAAGATCTGAAAGATCCTGCGATGGCGAAGAGCGATGAGACGGTACTGGCTGTTCTCGTGTTTTCATTATATGAAGTAAGTGGACGAGATATCTCTTGCGGGCCTCCAATAGCCTGATTGTCTACCCCCAGATGCACATGTTGAGCTAACGAACATCAGACCATAATGAGTACAGACGACACTATCACGGCATGGGGAAACCATGTCGACGGTGCTGTGGCATTAACGAAACTAAGAGGAATCGAACAGTTCAACGATCCAATGTCACATGCAATGTTCCGCGCCGTGCGAACGATGATGGTAAGTACCAATAACAAATCGTTTGCATGCCATAATCTAACGAAGGACAGATCACAAGCTGCGTTCAACGCTCAAAACCCATCGACTCTTTTCCCGGTACCGGAGGCTGGGTCGGCAACGGCGACATCTCCGAAGAGAATGCTGCCAATCGGCTGACACTCATCTGTATTGATCTCCCAAACCTCCGCGCTCGTGCGAACATCCTCACTACCACACCCTATGATCCCGCCTACGAATCAGAAGCGAAGCAAATCCTCGACCTTGCGCAAATGGTCGACGGAAACCTCGAAGAGTGGTATCGCACCCTGCCTCCAGAGTGGAAACATCGGATCATCGGCGTCTCCAGCGATTCAATCGCACCCGAGGAGATCGCGCTGGCTGAAAGATGGCCAGGCGAGCAACACGTATATCATGACGTGTCATTGGCGAGTATAATGAACGACTACCGCGTTTGTCGGATATTCTGTCGAAGAGTCATCATGGCATGTGTGACATGGCTCAGCATCGTTGGCAACTATGCAGATGGCGATGAGACGTGGAGTAGGAGCGTGTTTGTCATCCAGATGATGGTGGACGAGATCAGTGCATGTGTGCCATTTCACATGAACTACGAGTTGCAACCTGTGGCGAAGGAAATGGGTCAAGAGCAAAATGGTATGTCGAAGTCCTGCTAACATGATGTGAAGCATGGCGCTAACTCTTTTGCAGCTGCGGAGGCATTCGGCGGATACTCGCTGGTATGGCCACTATACGTCGCAGCAAACGCCGAGACCGTACCACAAGAGCAACGCGACTGGCTGTTGGGTCGACTGTCCATCATTGGCACAAAGTTTGGGCTGAGTAGTGCTCAGGTGCTGGTATTAGCGAGAAGACATGTTCTGACATGTGGCCCCATGTTCCCTTGACGCAGGCCAGGGTGGGGCAAGGGATCTGTAAGAATATGTGGAGGAAAGAAAACATTCCAATTCGTGGTGAACAGCATCGCACCTGTATTATACCTAGGTTTTTAGATAACAGTAAATGGGACTTCGCGGAGGGTCTAATATAAGCCGAATGTCTGTTCCATGGATCGTCATCCGTATCTAGTAAGTGTTCATGTGACCCACGCGTTCGACGCGGATGATCAGTGGGGACATGCAACATGTCAATCGTCAGGCGTCCTAAGCGAAACCCTCGTGATAACAAAACATCACCAGCACCCATCATGCCAGAATCAAAAAAGTTCTTCCTGGCCGCTCACATGTCCGGACTTTTGATCGAGGCATCATCCGTGGCGATCAGCGGCCCGTTTCCGTGCCAAGGCTGACCCTTCAATTCGTGTTCGGGGTTTCATCTGCTCAGCCACAGCCACGGCATCTATAGCGACTGTGGGCCCCTAGCCCTTCAACAATTTGCAGAAACTTGAAAGTTTCCTTCCCTGAAGTCTATCTGTATTCCTCCCTCATCAGCCTCATTCACAGACGCACTCGCCTCGCGCAAGGTTACCCCGCCACACGACCCTCAGCGCAATACCAGCCTCGCTACGTCATCATCACCACAACCATGGGCGCATTGAACCTCATCCCGCTCTTCGTTCTCTTCGCGGTGGTCGGAGGTGTAGGATGGGTCGGCTACCAGGTAATTTATCTCCCCGACAATGCGCGCGCACGGATTGCTAAGCCACGCGCCCTACAGATCTTCCTCTACTCCAACGAGCTCGCCGAGCGCGGCGTCAAGAAGATGGAGAAGAAGAACGTCGTCTTCACCAAAGACGGCGCCAAGGTTGGAGTCAAGGAAGTCAATGCAGAAGACTATGCGGATAAGACGCAACGTGCCTTCGTCAAGACATGGAATACTGCGCATGAAGGGTAGGTCGTCATGAAGCATTATGGGCCATTTTTGCTGACTACGTGATAGGGGATCCTCGGCTGCGCGAAGACCTACGAGGTAGTTACAAGGCGACACGCGATTCGAGTGCGAACGGATATTTCTTTTCTACGATACCTTTTTGCTTTGGGCATGCGCGGTCGATATCGCGTTATTCGCATCGGCCGTCGCGAGGATGATGGGAAGATTATACGGACAGGCGTCTGGAGGCCTACATATGGATACGGCAACGATGATTGACGCTTGCGGCGACACATTCGGTGCATCCATATGCAGTACTTCTAGGCAGGATAATGAAGAGACGATGCTTATCGAGGCCCTATCAACATGGCACGCTTCTTTCGTATTGCTAACCGCTCGTGCGATAGGTTCTTGCTGCCAAGTAGCACCAAGTACCGAATACTATCGCTTCCAAGTTTCCTCACTGAGTAGTACCTGCCGACGTCACCTCGAAGGACTTGTGCGGACTGGAGTATGATCCGATTACGCGTCCACTCATGGCGATAAGCATATAAGAGCGATCGAACATGCGCTTCGAGCAGTGCTCCGACATGCCGAATCTTGATTGCTGCTCGTACCCAGCTCAACAGCAGCTTCGATTGGCAGCGGATCTATCCTATTCGACTATGTACCCCCATAAGACCGCTGTTGGGAGCGGGGTACATTCGAAGCCTGCATTCTTGGCCGTGGACGTTTCATCTAGACCCCCGGATTGATGTAAATCGCTCATCGGTCAGCATCACATGTCACAACATGCACATCGAACCCCCAATACAATCGTCTTGCATCGGGGTTACTAGCACGGTGGGCATCCCACGCACCGCGACGGGAACGATACAAGAACGACGTTCGGGGTATAAGGCGTATGGGCCGAAGAGGTGGGGCAGGCGGGGTGTAAATTACAGTCTGGCCGATTCTTACGAGCTGTTAGAGGGGTGCATCGAGTTTAAAGGTGATGATCAGATATCGATTCACGCTAGCCTGCTTATGCCAGCACCAGCCTGAGGATCAACGACTCTCGCGCACGGACGTTCGATGAACAAAACCATGTCGTGAACTTTGTTGATAACTAGCCCAAGGGTATTAGGCGGTCGTTCTACGGTCTTTATGATTAACCCGGCAGATGATGCGTTGCTCCATGAGATCTTCAAGTCAAACCCCGCCCATCAGATACATAACGCGGGGAGTATCTTGATTCAAGACAGTAGTATCGCCCAAGCCCAACCATGACGATTTTGACGAGTATCTCAACGACTGGATTTACGCTGTTTAGCTTGAAAGGAATTTTCAATGCGTTCGAAGTGGTTTTGGCGTCAGTGAGTACATACTTCACGTTCCTGAGATTGCCGTCACCCTTGCCCTGGCATCTGACATTCGTCCCACGATCGTGACATCAGAAGACTACTCAATCCCCTGACCACTACATTGATTCGACCCACCTATAAAGCTTTACTGACTCCGAATAGGCCATTTTCTACTGCATCTGCTCAGTAGTATACAACATCTTCTTCCATCCTCTTAGACATATACCTGGTCCCCTCTTCGCACGCGCCACCGGTCTATGTTTCGCGCTACACATACGCGATGGTAGTGTGGTCAAATGGATCAAAGAATGCCACGAAAAATACGGTGATGCAGTGCGTCTAGAACCGAATGAAGTCAGTTTCATCTCGGGAGAGACTGCGTGGCAGGACATCTACGGCCACAAATCAGACAGAAGCAGAAACTTCGTGAAGGACCTGAAGTGGTTGTAAGTTACTTCCACTTGAAGCTGTGAGTGAGAAAATGCTGATGAAAAGATAGCCCCCGGCCTGTCAATGGCGTCTTGTCACTTCTCATAGCAGACGAAGAGGGGCATCCGCGGATGCGACGTAGCTTATCGCACGCTTTCAGCGACAAGGCTCTACGAGGACAGGAAAGTCTCATACAGTCTTATGTTGATCTTCTGGTACAACGCCTGGGCGAACACGCTGCTGAAGACACGGACATCGATATCAGAACATGGTACAGTGCGTGGTCCACACAGCGCCTTCCACCTCACCACTCCAGCTGATTATATATGATAGACTTCACGACCTTTGACATCATATCCGACCTCACATTCGGCGAACCCCTCTACTGCCTCCGCGACTCCAAAGAACACCTCTGGATCTCCATCACCCTCCGCAGCCTTCAAGCCATCGCCCTCCACGTCTCGCGAGGCAAGCACTTCACATTCCGCTATCTCGATTTCGTGCGAAGCCTCTTCACTGACAACACCGGCCCCATGCGCGCCCGCTACGAATTCGCGAAACGGGCCCACGACATGGTCAGCAAGCGACTCGAGAAGATCCAAAGCGGCGAGGACACACGCCCCGATTTCTTCACACACATAATCAAGAACCAAGAGAAAGAAAGCACCCGACTCACCCGCGCGGAAATGGATAGTAATGCTGTGTCCTTCCTCATCGCAGGCAGCGAAACGAGTGCGACGGCTCTGGCGGGTGCGACGTACCTCCTCCTCCGCAACCCACAGCCGTACAGGAAACTCGTCACGGAAATCCGGTCGCGCTTCTCCTCTGCTGATCAGATCACCGTTGACGAAGTCAACAAGTTAGACTACCTCATCGCTGTATTCCAGGAAGCGTTGAGGTACTATCCGCCTGCTGCTACAGGGCTTGCTCGTGTGGTACCGGCGGGCGGTGATCGGGTGTCGGGCTACTATGTCCCTGGCGGGGCGTCGGTATATGTTTCCATGCACGCCATGGGTCATTCTGAGCGTAACTGGAGGGATCCGGATGCTTTTGTGCCGGAGAGGTGGTTGGGGGATGAGCGGTACACGGATGATAAGAGGGCGAGCCATCAGCCGTTTAGCTTTGGGCCGAGGAATTGTATTGGGAAGACGTATGTTGCACCCTCTCTCTCCTTCCTACTTCTTGTCTCTAAGGACGTCGGGCTGACATCACCGTCTCTAGTCTTGCACATGCGGAAACGCGCCTCATTCTCACCAAGGTGCTCTTCGCTTATGATCTGGAGCTTGTGGATAAAGAGAGGGATTGGATGGACCAGAAGGTTTTTGCGCTTTGGGATAAAGGGCCTATGATGGTCAAGGTGAAGCCTGCACAGCAGCCGTGAGGTGTCGTGTTGCAACATGACGAGCTGGCATTGTCGGATATTTTTTGAGTCAGTTGATTTGCTACACTTGAGGCATGGAACATTGCAAATCCATCCACGCTATCATCGCGTTGGGTAATTCTATCATCTACGACGGTCTCGTTTCGTTTTGCACTCGTCCCATGAGTTGTAAATCACTATCTACAATGTGTAGATGAACTCTGGGTTCTCTCTATCTGTCAGGTCAAGCCATCTGCACCAACGGTCAGCACTTGCGCATCTCAAAAATTCGAGGTGTTAAAACTTACTCTTGGTTCTCAAGCTTGACATATCCAGGGTCAGCACGAACCAGCGCCTTCTTCTTATTCTGCCTGACGCAGTAGAAGTGAATGAACGCTATGATACCCAAGCAAACACCATAACAGACGATGATCGTTATCTCGGCGGAAACATAGCGGGGCGCGTCTTGCTGGCGGAAAGTTTGAGGGCCTATATTCATGCATCATATTAGCCGGACTCGTCTCAAGCATAGAGGTAGTACGTACCGATAATATTTCCAGCACAGTACCCAATAAGATACATAGCCGCCACAGTTGTCTTCTTCGTATAGCCTGCTACATTACTCGAGATGAGACTGAGCAAAGCGACAAACGGGGTAGGGCTGGCTTGGGTGAGGTAATAGCCAGCGAGACGACCGGAGTTGTTGTTCAGAGGCAGTGCGACGATGAGGATCATGCCGATCATAGCAGTGGTAAGGCCGATCATGGATATGAGGAGGCGGTAGCCGTATTTGTCGCCTGCCCAGCCACATGCGATGAGAAAGACGACTTCGACCGCGCCGCCTGGGGTGCCGTAGAGGAGGGATTCTTCAGGCGTGTAGCCGAAGCCGACGATGAGTTGGGAGAAGAAGTTTGAGATGCCGCCTTGGTGGGGTGTTAGCAGTTGGTTCGGTGAGGTTTGTGAATGATGGCTTACCGTTGGGGATATCAGCGATCAACGCGTAGAAGAAGAACGCCCAGCTCAACGGATCGACCAACGCCTCCTTCAACTGATACCACTTGAAGTGTTTGTTACCCACACCCTGCGCATTGATCCTAATACGTTCAATCGCCAAAACCCGATCCTCCTTACTCAACCACCTACAGTTCAACTGGTTATCCGGGACGATCCACAAAAACGCGATACCAAGACACGTAGTAAGCAGTCCCGTAACCAAGAAAACAATCTTCCAGGGCTCCATGATAGTTCCGTACTTGCGACATCCCACAGCAATGCCGTAAGCGACGCAGCCGCCGAAGATTTGCGCAAAGCCGTTGAAACTGAACCAGATGGCTGTGCGTGAGCCTTGTTCTTTCTTGGTGTACCATTGCGAGGTGAAGAGGGCGAAACCGGGGGTTACGGCTGCTTCGAAGACGCCGAGGAAGAAGCGGATGGCGATTGCTCCAGCGTAGTTTTCTACGGCTGCGAAACAGGACAGGACGAGGCCCCACATTATGATGTTGAACGCCGCTTTGATATGTTAGCCCCTTGGCAACATGCTGAATAGTTAAAGCATTAGAGTGGAAGGAGACGTACAGTATTTTCCCAGTGGCAAGACTTGCAGTAGACGCGTGGTAGGATACTCCCAAGCGATATATCCAAAGTAGAACATGCTACCCAGCCACGAGTACTGGTCTCCGACTAGACCGATACCTGATTCTAGTATGTTGTCCGAAGGAGGGAGTTTCAGACCCATGATACTTGCGTAACTCAATGTGGTCTTGTCGAGGTAGTTGAGCCCGTAAACTATGCACATGATCTGTAAACATCATTAGCTCGTTACCAGTCATGCCAACGAACGCATCGATAATTTTCAGAACAGGGAAAATTGAACGTACGGGCATCATATGCATATCAATCTTCCTCAGCAGCGCTTTACTCTTCTCTTCCGTCAACTCCACAACCTGGCCCTCCATGCCCTCGAACGCCTTCATCGCCGCATCGGCATCGTGTGAGTGCTTCAAGAGTTTCTCGTCGAGAACTTTCTTGAGGCCTTTGCCGTTGTCTTCGACAATCGGTTCTTTCTCGACATCCATGGGCGCGGGATGCGGTGAAGTAGGTGGGTGGTCGGTCGCTGACGCCATGACGTGATATCTCGAGAGCGCTCGATCGCTTCGAATAGTCGACTCAACGAAAGAACAAAGATGCGCAATACTCAACTGCGCAAGTCGTAGTCACAACCGTTCATATAAACCCACCCAAGAGCCGACGCGACGTCAACGTCGACGCACAAACCTCCGTAAACGATAACCGACCTCCCCAACGCGCCATTGACGTCCGCCCATTCATAGTTGATAAGCCACCCCTGCATCTCCCTACACGCGATACGCTCACGCCCGCAAGTTGCCGTACCACTGCGGGGTATCTCTTGTGTTGATCCGCGGAACTACTCGAGATAGGGTCTGACACTACGTGATAGACAAGCGTACCTTCCGCAACAGGAAGCTGCGATGGGTGGCTAGTTCCGTTAAAATGGGGGTGATTGGGTAATTGCCGGGAGAGAAGCAGTGGAAGCTCAGCGGAGGCGTCAGACAAGGTATCGCAAGAGTCGCAAGAAGTCGGCTTGGTGATGATAGCGGGCTTGGCTTGTCTGCTGGACGGTGTGCGAGTTGATAGGGAGACAGGTGCGCGATGGTGATGATGTCAGTGCTGAAAGCTTATCGCTAGTCGCGATTAGACACGTTAAGCATAAAGCAACGTTAAAACTCTAAAGTGGACGTCAAGACAGTCACGGAGCGATCGTATTTGAAAAGATTTGCATGCGATGGCGGTATGAAATTTTGTATTGCAGCAGCGACAAACATCATAGCTAGCGTGATACACATAGCACTTCGTTGTACCAACAAAATTGTGGGAAGAATTACTCCGTTGAACTCCAGGCCCGATTATCGGCCGATGCTGTGAACCGCGCATCTCCCCAGCCCCCAGGCTTATCATGATTTGGCCATGTAGCCGTGATACCCGAACGCCGCCCATATGCCGTTCGTAAATGCTGAAGACGACCACCCGTACTCGGAAAGAAAAGTGGGGAGTACAGATGTAAATGTGGAAGAAGAACAAGAAGAAGGCGCTTGGCAGCGAAAGAAGGATAAGACACTAGTTGCGATATTGCTATGATCGCACGAACACGCTGTTGAGTTTGTTCAACGCGCTGCTATCGGCAGCGGTGCTGTTCTTAGCGAGTCTCTCCGGTGCCAAGTCTCGGGGGAATCTCGTTGCGGTGTTAGGACTGCGGCTACCAGAACGGCTGTTGTTCTGGTTATCCTTATCTTGGTTCTCGCCGTTGAGTAACGACCCCAGTGTAGGAAGCGGTCTTGATGCTGCGGCTGCGGCGGTGCAATTTGACTCGGGTGCCCGGGACTCGGACTTGTCGGAGGGCTCTGGTGTCGGTGGCTTGTTCGCACCTGCTGAGGCGGCCGCGCCGTTGATGGCAGGCAGTTGCGGACCTTGTTCGGGGGCTGATACTTTCGGACGCGCAAGTTCAGTGGCACGCTGAAGGTGCTGCTGTTGAGCTTGCTCGGCTGTCGATGGAGTGCGGAGAGGCGGTGTCGCCATATATTGTTGAGCAGCGTGCGCGGCGTGCGCTGCGTAAGCGGGGTGTTGCATCAGCATGGGATGGTGGCCTTGAGGAGCGTGAGGGTGGGCCATTGGTGGGCGGTCGAAGACGTGTTGTGGGTGGTAGGGAGGCTGCGCGTAGACGACGCCGGGGTAGAAGTAAGGCTGGTGCGAGTAGTACATGGGAGGAGTACCGTTGGGTGGTGTGGGAGGATACATTGGTATCGCGTACATGGGTGCGACAGGGCCACCACGGGTATACGGCGAGGAAGGTGCCATGCTGTGTCCTGGTGCGCTGTATGGCGAGCCAGGCATGGGCCCGCGAGTGACGGCAGGCACAGTCTGGGTCTCGTTCACCGCCGACTCCGGGTACATGTTCTTTGGCGGGCGGATGTGCCGCAGTTGCGCATCGTTGGTCGGCTGTGGGAGGTTGTTGGAATTCGATCGCGAGTAGTAGCTGATGAGGTGGAGGTGCTGTCCGCTCTGGGTGGTGATGCTGAAGGACTGCTTCATAAGACCATCCGGCTTGTACCGGTAGCCGTCTGGTCCCTCGCCGTCCGATTCACCTGAGCCTGTGCCGTCTGGAGATTTCCCGCTCGCCCTCTTCGCTACTGGGGCTGTGGGAACTGCGCTGCCTCCCCGCTTGCCCTCCATCTCTCGGTACGTGAGGAAGCTGCCCGACACGCGACTGGCACTCCATGATTTTCCGTCGGTCCACCGCCTCATGCCGGCCTCGCGCTCGTCCCATACAAATACTGAGCCTGACTTGATCTGCTGGCGCTCCTTCTCGGATAGGCGGCGCTGTACCCGCGGTAGTATACCGATGCGGCAGGCCTCAAACAGGATGATGGCATCGTTTGGCGTGCGAACGTGTCCGTGGTAGGTCTCCATTGCGAAGACGTGTGTGGGGGAAGTGTGTCGAAGATAGTGTGGAGGTGTCAAGACCTCATAGATGCTGTGTGGTTCGCGTTAGTCCAAGCCATGGAACAAGCGCTTCGGGTTCAAGGCAATGCGACAGTTGTGGTAATCTTGGTATGCAGGGTTTCCGGCAAACTCGGAAATCGCGGTGCGCATAAATGTTGGAACATGGCGAACCGAGGAACGGCATGCCAGAGAGGGGGCAGGCAAAGCGGCACGGAGATACGAAACATAGATGGAGACTTACAATAGGGTGTGTGACTGTGACGGGGCGTGTCTGCAGAGCCGTCGCAACGTCTATATGGGGCAGTGCGATGAGGTCAAATGTGTCGAGGTCCGGTGACGTGAAACGGGCCGGCAATGAAACGGAGTCAGCGTCTGATAGGTGTGCGCGGCAGTGGTCCACTTGGTATAGGCGGCGTTAGGTGACGAAAGCTGGAAGTTGGGGAAGATGGGTCAGAGGGCGAAATCTTTGGAAAGCCATCAGCAGTCCTCCGCCCTCATGTACTTGCAGGCAGGCGGGCTTGGGACCCAGCAACGCTCCTTTGGCGTCTCTGGCCCTTTCTGGGCGCTGGGGTCGTCGTCTTGATCGCCCGCCGAGACGTGGAGTGGCGTCTGATAGCGAAATAAGGCGCACGACAAGCTTTATTTGGACCCCAGCTAGCTGCTCACTGGCCCTCCGTTCCAGCGGAGCCCCAGCAGCGTCTACCCACACACAGCCCCCAATACCTGCCATGCCGCCCTGTGCCACCAGCCAGCGTCCCCAGACGGCGTGAGAAACTGTTTGCAGCGACGAGCCCTCACTGCGGCTCGCACACGCCGGAGCCACGGCATGCCCAGCACCACGCAGCGCCTGGCGGCGTTGGCTCGCCCAGCCAAGCTTTGCGAGCCGGATAACTCTAAACGAATCTTTATTTTCGACAAGCCTTCGATCCCTTGGCAGCCCCACTCGGACCCCGGCGCTGACACCTCCCAAGACTTCGCGGTGTGGTCCATCAGTCCGTCAATCCGTCTTGTCCTGCTTGGCCCCCGCTAGCAGCAATACACCAAGCACAGCCAAGGCGTTCCAAAAGTCCGTGTCGTCCCAAAACCAACCCACGCTCGCGTCGCCCTCAGATTGTGGCAGGCCATGGCATGCTTGGCCGCGGTCCCCTAAGAAATCTCCACCTGTCGTGCTCTCGGCGCCCTTGGAAGCGGACAAACAACTGACCTGCGCGACAAAGGAGTGTGCCTAGTCCCGAAGGATGCCCTACACGCTCCGGCTAAGTGCAGAGTTTCTGTGCCGTCTGCTCACGCAAGTAAACGGCCGCCGCAAACTTGTGGCATACGTGGAAACTGTGCCCGCCAACCAAGCCGATTCTACACTCCGCTCTGGATCAGACATCCGCTCCGATCCACACCAACGTAATCCGGCGCTTGCAACTTCTCAGCTCATTCGCTTAAAGGCTCGGCCAGCACTTTGATTAAGCTTGGTGCCTGCGGTTTAAGCTTACCACCGTGCCACGAGGATCCGACTTACCCACACTGGCGGTATCACAGGGCCGTCGCTTCTCCGCTTCCAGAACAGAAGAGCTGAGCATCGGAGCCATGAGACTTCCCGCCCCTTGACTGTCATCGTGGCAGTGTTGCGCCATGACGAGACCCGACTTTGCGTAAAACCCTGCTGCCTACCAAGTGGGCAGCGCAGCACCTTGTTCACCAGACCGTCTTTCTTTGTCAAGACTCATCCAAGACCGTAGACTGCGGACGAGCACTTGTGCAAGATGCCATGGAACATGGCGTCTCAGCTGCCCGAGAGAGGTAAACCTCCGGGTGGAACCATTGGGTCAGTCGCACTCAAGCCTGCCAAGTAGCAAACAGGATTGTTATTTCGATGGATGGCCAAGCCCGCCCTTCTCCACGTTCATACAACGCCCGCTGCTTGTCTTATCAGCTCACACCGTCGAAGCCGCGTCATCCGACTTGTCAAGCCTGCCCAGCGTTGGCTTCTCCACATACCGGATATTTACATCATGGGTTCGCGATTGCAGGCAGCTACGTCGTTTCAATCACCAAGCACGAGTCTCAGGGAAAGTCGTCGTATGTCTCTACGGGCCGACATCTTCTCTTCGAGATTACTGTGAGCATGAATAAACGGCGATCTGCGTGCGCTCAGTAATCTGTCTTTCGCTTACAGCTGCAAGGTTGCAGATAAGGTTGGCGCAGACTTAAGCATAATTTCCTTGCCGCTGCTATCCCCGGTGTTGGGTTGGTCCTCGCCAAAGACACCCCTCACAGCGATGAGTCGCAGCGCCCCATCGGCCGTTTGCTCGTATTCTCCATCCTTTCAGATCAGCTTCCACACGCAACGTGTCCACTAGCTATCTTCACATGCTGCTGCACCTGCCGAATGCGAAGCACTGGAGCGACTGCAAGCCCACGTGCTCTGAGCCGCAAGTCCAGAACTGCGCCATCGGAGCGTCGTACCGTATAGTGGCAGCCCCTAGCCCACGATTTGAGGGGTCGTCCGGAACCGGTGGAAAATTAAGGTAGGCCAAGCAATCGTTGGTCCGATAGCGCCCGATGATTCCCCCAGGTCCCCAAACCTTTCCTCGACGACCGGCGCTCTGACGGCGTGTGTTTATCCGTGCAGGGCCGGCATGCCTTACAGCGCCTCACCACCGCGCGTCGAGCCGCTCTTGATGGAGGGAATTCGTTGCGAGTCCGAGAACCCGGTTTCGCGGTGCCATTATGCAAGTTGCTCAATCTATTGTTGCCTGCTCATTTGCTCCGTCTGTGCCACAGCGCCATACCAAGCACTCAACCGCGCCAAGGAGCCTATAGTGTATCGATATTTGCCCGCGACATGGAACCGCGGGCCTGCTCTTCTGGAAGCCATCTCCATCTATTTCCGCATCCAAATGCCGCATGAGCAATATGACCGTCACTTCGAGTTTGTTGGACGTGATACAAAGCCGGTGGCAGCAGCCGCCTCGCTTCTGCAGTCCACAACTCCACTATGAACAGCGTGCATACTCCGCCTCACGTACCTAAGCGATGTGTTGGAATAGCGGACTTGCTTACGACAAGCCTTGGTGTGTGAGATCCATACGTCGCCCGCCATCCTGGTACCAACGCATCATCTCACCTCAGACGCTACACTCCACGACCACTTCTCATCCCAGATCACTGCCCTGATTACTGATGCCCAGGCATACCGAATCTCAAACATACTTTCCAGGTGCTTGCTGCATACACACACACCGGTTCGTGCCTCTCCATTGAGTTCCCCGCTCGAACATGCGTTCTGAAACAGAACGTGTTTGGCCGGACAAAGAGTCGTGGAAGAGATCATCCGTGGACCTCGTTTGATAGTCCCGAGTCATCCGCGACGGCATGAAGGATCGCAGCCTAAGGATGCGTGGCGTTGCATCCTACGGCTTGGCTCAGGGCTTGGTAATTGCTGGGTAGCGCATCGGATTTGGACGAATGCGAGTCCCACTTCAAGATTGTCACGTGAAGCTTAAAAGTCCTGCAGCTACATACCATTTGCGACTCATTGATCATTGGCTTACTGATGGCACTGCCTTCGCAGCTATCATGTGTAAATCTACATCGTTCACTGTCAAAATCCACGGCTCTTGGAATTGCACGTCCTGTCGTAGATAATGCGTTCCTAGAGCAGCACCTTCAGGACAATTTTGTGCCTCCCAAACCCAACCCTCTGTCGACATAGTCACAACAACATACTGCGATACAAGACTCGTCTCCATGCTACCTCCACCTTATTCATAAAAAGAACCGAACAGGCTTAGAGCCTACATCAACGTTAGATTACCTACTTTGCATGTTTCCATGTCAATGTAGGCTGCTAAACATCTAGTTTTATCCCAGGTTGACGTGCATGAACATCCTCAGAAATCGCAAAACACGCTCGGAGCAAAGAATTGATCCCTCCCACACTTCATCGCCCCAACCCCCATATCCTTCTTCGAGTCCTCGCGACAAGCAATCTCCCTCTGCGAGCTAAACAACCTCCCCGGATTATTCCCATCGCACTTGTACGTGCACGCCTCACCCTCAATATCCAGCTTAAAGACACCGCCAGGGAACGGCGCCTTGCTATCGGAACCAGGACGAGGCGTCTCATCGGTATCCGCAACGATTTCCTTGCCGTCAGTCTCACCGCAACTGCCCACTGCCTTGCCAACGCTGGTGGTGTAGAACTTCCACTCGTGGTTGACGCTGACGGAGGTTCCGTGGCCGGAGTAGTGTGTGACCATGGCGACGGAGAGGGCCATGCCTTTGCTGGGCTTTGTACTGGCCGGGCTAACTGAACAAGAACCGCGTCATGGCAGGGAGGTATGTCTGAACCTTCAACCGCTTCTTCGTCTGTACCATGTCGAATGGTGCGTCGAAGTGTCGCTGGAGGAGTTCTTCGTTCCGTATCAGGGCATCGCCTTTGACCATACACCACGATGATACCCCGCTACACGACGCGCTGTTCACGCCATATGCTTTCGTATACGACACTGGCATCGTTGCGTGGCTCTGATCCGGGCTTGGGGTATTTTTTCGGGACGAGCGGCTGCGCACGCCAGCTCCAGTCAGCGGAAAAGCAAAATCCGCCTGAGCCGCCGCAGCGTTTTGGGCGCGCGAAGATCGCTAGGAATACATGGGTTGTGACGAAGGCATCTGTCTTGCTGGGTGTTTTTGTTGGGTTCAGGTACGTCGCATTCCGTGCCATCGGATGCGCACACGTCGTAGGTGCTAGAAGCGTTCAAGTCACCCTCTTTGAAGCCATTCTTCCAAGTCAGCTTCCCATCTGCGTCTTCCGTGGCCATGACCTGGATCATGATACTCGACTGGAAAGTATGAGTATAGGGGTGTTGAAGTTGACGGCTGGGAAGGAGCTGAACCACTTCCACATCGGTGTCTATACTCACGAAGTCATTCAATTTTGGATCATGTGCAAAAAGCTTCGTAGAGAACATACTGTATGGTGGCCTTCGTACCCAGCAGGCGTAGACGTCATCTTGGGGCGGAAGGATCCTCCATGGCCGCTGTCCTACTAAAGTTGGAGGGGAAGGATCGTTGGAGTAGGCCCCCAACTCAGCCTTGCGCTCAACGCCCGACTATTTCAAGACCATCGGCAACAAGTAACCCACGATCTGTTCTTTCTACAGTATAGTGTTATAGCCAGCCAAGTTGCATGGCTGTACATTAAATCCCAGATGGGGGCTACTTATGTACCTTTGTTGACGCCCGGGCGCTAGACCCCACCTTCTAAGTGCGGCTGCCTAACACAGGTTAGAACTTCACGTTCACCTGTGTCGCACCTGCACCTTTGTCTTCATCACTGAAAGACACGATACTCGAAGTTTTTGATGGCGTTGACATGAAATAAATTTACGCAAGCCCTCGCCTGCCTGCGGACACTTCATCTCCTCGGCACCACACTCCTCTCTCAGCCCTTTTTCCCTCAGCCCTTTAGCTACTACAATCTAATATATAACTTAAATTATTTAGAACTTCTACTGCGTCCTAGTTACTTAACTTACACTCGCTACATTCACGCCTTTTGTCCCGTTTGCAGCTACTGCAATCGCACTCAACACCTCTTCTCATCTCCTCGGCCTCCATCGGCACAACCACTACTATTTTCATCACCATCACCATCACCATTACCTCCATTACGACGCAGCTATGGCGGAACCGACCATGGCAGATCTAAAGGACTTGCCCGCCGGCTACACCTCATCCAGAGATGTAGGCGATGTACTCGTAGGGCAGGACGACGCTCGCCGTCTCATTGAAACATGCTCGTCTGGCGACGACGCGGCCTTATGGAGTCTGCTATCACAGCCACAACACATCACGACGATGCTCAGTAAACCACACACCATCTATAGTAAAGATCCACGTGGGAAAGTTATGGCAAGGCCAATTCCAAATCTTGAGCGGGCCTTGATGGTAGCGGCTCAGAATGGCCACGCTGCTGTTGTGACCGCACTACTTGCTTTTGCAACAGAGCTTGACGTTTCCCTCTCCGATATCATGGATAGAGATGTCGTCAACAAGGCCATCGACGGTGGCCACGCCGCTGTCATCCAGGCACTAGGCGCCGCCTACCCGAAGGTCATCGAGATCCGCATCGGCCACGGCCACCAGCGACCACTTTACGAGGCCGTGAGGCGAAGGAAACCAGATGTAGTTGCTGCACTTCTCGAGCTGGGAGCAGATCCATTACATCCCGTTGCGCCGGGCTACAAGAAACTCGGAAACTTTCGCTCGTCTCTGATGTCTTTCGCTGCCATGATTGAGGGTCCGCGCACGACTGAGATGCTGTTGGAACGCGGAACGCCTATAGCGGGTACTGCTGCGTTGCATACCGCTGCGAGATTCGGTCAGCTCGATACTATGCGTCTGCTGATAAAGCATGGCGCGGACTTGGAGGAGGTCGTTCCGGGCTGGAAGGGCTGGACACCGATGCACTTTGCTGCCTCGACTGGCAAAGCCGATGCCATGAAACTGCTGGTGGAACATGGCGCACGCATAAACTCGAGAGACGAGGATGGGAAGACGCCTAAGCAACTGATGTAGGCGCAGAATGCTGCTTAGTAGTAGCACACATGGACGATGGGAGCGCGAAATCTGCTCGCCATCATAACTACTGTCCGTCTCCTCCAACTCATGAGAGTTCATTTTTGAGAATGCACGCTGTGAAACGGGTGATCGGAGTTTTTCGTGAGGGAAGGATAGCTTCCAGGACGAAATGCGAATTCTCGACGAGGAGTACCATTTCCTGGGTCTTGACTTTAGCGATGGCGCTGTGTTGAGCTCAATCAATAATGACTACAGCAATAGTGCCGGCATCCTTTCGCGTGTGTATACTACGCATTAATTGTTCCGTGTTGCGGCTCAAAGTCCTAGACTGAGTCCCGAAGTAGCTGCGTGAGGTCTTGAGAAGCAACTACGCAGGTCCGTCATAAGGCGCTCGCGAGCACTCAGGTCCGTCATGTGTGTGCGCCGCATCCGCATGTGCGAAAGCTTACTCGAGCGTCGTCTCGCCGTCATCTCTTCTTCTTCGAGGTGTTTCCGCGTATATCTCATTCCAATCGATATCCTAACATCCGGTCAGATTCGCTAAGAAGTATTGAGGCCATAAACACGTCGCTTAGGTTATTTCCACCATCTGTAGCAGCTGCAGACAGGATGCTCTACCTCTTCGAGCCGTGATGTCAACGCCACCAACCTTCCGTCGTGCGCAAACCCGTCACATCTCAGGCGCCCTGCATACTCCCGGTCGTAAGAGCACGGCGCCCGCCGGCTTGGATTGGCTCGAGTACATACGCCATGTATGGAGTGCAATGTTGGCCGGATTGACATCTGATCTGCGAACCCTGGGTGTGCCGAGAGCCGGGTTGCGCACCGTTGCCCGCTATTTGCCTTCCATGGAGGCAAGAAAAGATGGCATTGAATGTTTTGGTAATGCGTGGTGCAGTTGCGCTCGCAACAGTGGGTGGGAATTCGTTTTTCGAGCTACTGATTCAGCATTTGCGCTTGTGGCATTAGTGCCGAATCAGTACGAAGGCAACCTCGGAACGGGTCATGTGCATCATGAACATTGGAAGAACGGCTATGGAATACGGCTGGTACGACCCAATGTATTGGGTCGTTTGCGCTGATCAATCTTTGTACCGGTCCCTTGTTCTTCGCAGACTTATGCAAAAGATCGTGTACTGGCATGTTCAGCAGTACTGACTGCGTGGCATCGAGATACCCAGGCGCGGAGGGGCACGCCCATAGCAATCGCGTTGTTACGCGCACCATGTGCTGAAGCGACTCCAAGTACTACACTGCACGACGATAGCTTAACTCATGTAGAATAAGTTTTCCTCAAGCGACCCAGTCCGACAGATGTCAGTCACCAAGTCGGAACGTGGAAGCCACGCAGCATACCCGCCAAACTGTGCCGCTGCGTCGGAGACGTCGAGCGCGCCTGTCAATTCCCAAGGTCCTGGCTCCAGGTCTAACAGCAGCATCATCACGCAGTCCCAAGCAACGTACCCACCTTCCCTTGCCTCGGTCACATCCCCCCGCGCGGCAGCGAAATATGCGCAAGGACCCAAGATCAGTCATCCATCAGATAAACCACGGTACCTATCCCATTTACCTCGTGCGGTTCTTCACGTGTCAAGTACTAGCGGTGGTAGTAGCGGCCATCTGCGCACATGCGGCGGCTCCGCGTCAGCGGACGTTTTCAAGACTTATTAGCATCACGCCACGGCTAGCTCGTAGAGGAAGACACCAGGCTCAACTCTGCAATCCGCCCGCCTGCACCGGCAGAGTTCCGTATCTGGGGTTAAATGAGTGCGGTGTTCTCGGGCTATCACTACCGCGACGTAATTCAATACCGCTCCCACAGCTCCCCATGGGGCGGGAAGGAAGAGTGGCGGGAAGAACAGCGCCATTGGACACGAAGTGGAGGTCCTAAAGAGTAGAGGCATATCCGATACTCGTGGTAGCGAGATCTAACGGGGTGGTCAGACGGCTCATATCAGTGGAACTCGCAGATGCCGTGTAACTCAGACCCTTCGTGCTCACCCCAGCCCCCCAGCGTGGAGAAAACGAGTGGAGAGACCCAAAAATTTCCTGGAGCAGCAGGGCAGCCCGTCTGGGGAGCCCACGGATAAATAACGGGTCTACTCCAGTTGACAAGCGTACAAGCCTGTCGCGGTGCGGGGATATTAGCGCGCGTATTTTAGCACCGGAACAAAGCTTTGCATCGACAGTCCTGATAGGTGACGAGCAACCAGCAATACGAAGTCTAGAGCAGACAAGAAACAGCCACCTGCAAACCAACACGCAGCGCTATGGATACATCTGGTGAGCGGTCCGCTGCTAGGCCAGCGTAGCGACACAGCACGACTCTGTCGTGACAGCCGCCTCGCACGGCTTGGAGGCCCTTGCGCAGACGGCGCAAGGAACCAGCTTGATAGCCAGAAGCCGTGATTGATGGAATCTGTCTCGTGCATTCCTTCCATGTGCACATAGCGCTGACGGCGGACCCACCAGTCGCCAGCCACGGATTTTCCATCTTTCTGGGGAATTAGACAATGCACGCTCGGAGATGTGGAGGGGTGGGTGGATGGTTCAAGCGCGCCCCGGGGGTGACTACTGTACACCAGATGGCTAACCATGCCTAAATGCCGTTGCTGCAAGGTCACATTTAAGCCGCCCCGCGTTGAGTGTGCGCACCCCGTGCTGTTTATAAGGTGGAGACGTTTCCCCGGTTTATCCTTTTGTCTTCTTTGCCAGCCCAGAGTTCCTTTCTCTGATCTGATACCCCTCGTCCTTTTTTTTTCTTGTTATACCCCGGCAAGAGCCCTTTCGCAAAGATGGGTGACGTCCCTAAGGAATATGGCGGCGATGTGCACGTCGAGAAGGCCATCTCGCATGTCGACGACTCGGTCGCGCTTGACGAGAAGGCTCAGGCTGCTATGTTCAAGACGCAGGCTATGGATGCTGAGACTGCT